GAGGAGGAGGAGGAGGAGGAGGAGGAAGAGGAGGAGGAGGAAGAGGAGGAGGAGGTGGAGGAGGAGGAGGTGCAGGGGCTGGTGGAAGTGTAGGTAGAGGACGACTGGAAGAAGGAAGAAAGGAGGAAAGGATGGGGGGTGGGGTGGAGGAGGAGTAAATTGGGAGTCATGGGTTGTTTTGTTTTTGGTAGAGGCTTTTACCCCGTCCTGGATTTGTAATATAAGCATTTGTTTTGAATCACCACCCTCCAGTTTAGGAGATTGTAGACCAATGAGTGAGTCTGAGGCCACACTAAAGGATAAAACGAGCTTTTTGTACACAATTGTAGACTCCTAATAGTCCACCGGGTTTAATGGGAAGGCATTAAAAGTACAATAGTAGATTAGTATCGTCCAGCCAGGCTACACACGCCTTGTTCCGCACTGGTTGGACATGGGATGTGTCTTGTCTCCGGATTTGTCCCAGACAAACTGACTGGACATTCATCTCTTAACCCTATCCGTTCGTCGTGTTATACTATCGTATCCATACAACGAGGTGAAATATGTGCCACCACTTTCAAAAGAGGAAATTTACTCGTTAATCCGATCCGTACGCTTTGCATAGTAGTCTGTCAAAACGATTTTTTAATAGAAATACTGAAAGTTTCAAAGAGATCTTCGCACTAGAAGCAAAGATACTATGTACTATCTTTGCTAGAAGTATTCTAAAATGTGAAGAATACAACCCCGGGGGTACTAAATGACCCCGGGGGTACTAAATGACCCCCAGGGCGTACGGATAGGGTTAAGTCATTAGTCTTATGGACTGGGAGGGGGACCTTGATTCTGTCACCTATTTTTCCTTGACTATTTGTGTTGTACTTGATATAAGCATGATAGAGACCAGGCTTGGGCTAACTAGCTCACGAGCTGTTTCAGTTTCGCCCACAAGTAGACCCAGCAGTTAATCATGAATGTGACCCGCAGTGAGCTGATGATTAACAAAACCAAAACTGTCTGTCATGAAAATTACAGTTAATCGTCTCCGGCCCAGCTGAACGCAATAGATTAAAATGTTACCTCATGAAATGCCTTGCGAGATATATTTTGTTCTAGTGTAATTTTTTGTCTTACATTTAAGAGCTAGGGTACTTAGAGCGATTTTTTTCCACTATTTTTTTTTCTTTGGTCCGCGAGATATTCGGAATCACTTAATCCGGCCCATGACAAGGATACATTTGCCCATGCCTGTTGTAGACTATTGTCACGATTGTGATAAAGGGGCATTTAGTCCTCTTGCTGGACCCCCGGGCTGAAAGCAGAAGACAAAAGTCCAAACAAAAGTAACCCAAAGCGGATTCAAGCTCCGAAGATCGACGTAGATTTTTGCATATCGTTTTGCATTGGTCGAGTTTGTTATCAACTGAGATACAACCGCTGATTAATTTGAATTTGCATTCTACTACACTACTTAATAGGGAAATATCAAACTGATAAACAGTAATTATTGATTTGTCCTAGGTTCACACACAACAGAACGACTTTATAAGACCTATATGTGTTGCAAATGTCGTAAAACTATTCTGAAACTAAAAAGATCAACAGTAGTGTTTAAAATCCTTCCAAAAAGTCAGAACCCGCTCGTAGTCATTCTGAACACAACATCTCAAAAGCAGACGCAAAAAAGCTGCAAAGCTGGACACAGCCTAGAAATAAAGACGCAGCCATTGGGGATTCGAACCAGGGATATTCACCGAATAGCGGAACATAACCACTACACCAACCAACCAGCTGAAGAAGAGACCAGACAGCCAAGCTTCGTGTCCTGTATTTGGATCGCCAGCAGCCGTTTTATAAAACAAGCTCGAGTGAAGACGTTTTTTTCTTTTCTTTTTTTTTTTCTTTTTCTTTTTCTTTTTTTTTTTTGGTTAGTGTTTTACGGCGCTCACAACTGCATAAGGTCATATGAGCGGGCGGGACACAT